GGCGGGCTGGAGAGTGTAGGTTTCATTTAAGGAAGGTTGATTTAAGGGTTCATGGTTCAGGGTTCATGGTTCAGGGTTTAGGGTTTAGGGTTTAGGGTTTAGGGTTTAGGGTTCAGGGTTCAGGGGTTAGGGTTCAGGGTTCAGGGTTCAGGGGTTAAGGGTTAGGGTTTAGGGTTCAGGGGTTAGGGTTTAGGGTTTAGGGTTTAGGGTCATGTTTCCCTAAATTTCCTGAATCCCGGAACCCCCTTGTAATCTCAAACTCCTGCAGGCTACCCCACACCCTAACCCTTAAGGAGACCTGAGAACGGGGCCGAGATCGTCCGCGAGGATGAACAGGATATTCCTCACTCGCCATGACTAATCACGAATACAAACCTTTATGCTTTAGGCCTCAAGGTTTCGCATCGAAGCTTCTTAAACCCTGAACCCTAAACCCTCCCTGGAATTGGGAATGTCCAAGATAGCCTCAACGCCCAGGCGTGGGGTTTTGGCTCTACTTGGAGGGTCGAGGGATTTAGTGCGCAGTTGTTCGGTGAGGCGATAAAGCGAGAAGCAGGACAACCCAGTTGGGCTCCAAGGCAGGTGCTTGAAACTTGCATATAAACCCTCTCTAAACCCCCTATAAGCCCTAAACCCTAAACCCATGCCCTAAACCCTATAAACCCTAAACCCTACTTCCTAAGTCTCCGAACTCTCCAAGCATGGGCTATAGGCCTTCGGGTGAAGGCAGGCCCCATCACAGTTTAGGTTTTAGGTGTTAGGGTTCAGGGTTTTGGGGTTAATGGCCTCCTTGAGTCCGCTCAACCCGCGCGAAGCGTTGCATGATAGGGTTTAGCGCGTCTTTTGAGTGCCTTACTTAGTGATTCTAATGAGGATCCTACCACCCTAAACCCTAAACGTTGAACCCTAAACCCTCAAATCTCGTCTGGTCCACAAAGCCCTGGATCCCCAGAAGCAGCAAACCCAAACCCCCAAATCTTTCACCCTTCAGTCAAGCCCCTAATCTGGGTTCTTGTTATACGGGATTTAATTCAAGTTACCATAGTAAAGAAACCGTGTTATTTACTATGGATCCCTATTCTGGTAACTTAAATTGAAGCCCTTAACAAGAACCCAGCCTGATTGCCCCTCCCAGCGGCGGCTTCTTCGTCTCGACGCAGGAGGATGCCAGCGCGATCGCGCACAGCCAGAGGAAACGCGCCATGGTGGTGGCTCATCGGTTTGGGGGTTCCGGGTTTGAAAGTTTAGGGTTTAGAAACGTAGGGTTTTGGGATTTTAGGGTTTTGGGATTGGGGTTTATGGGGTCCAGGGTCAACTCTCGCTGCCTCCTAGGAAAAGATATACCCTAAACCCTACACCCTAAACCCCTTCGCGGTTAGTCCAGGAACTTGGCTTCTTTGGCTCAGGGTTTCGGCCGTTTAGGATTCAGGGATGAGGATGGAGGCTCTAACGAAGGGTTTAGGATTCTTTTTGTTAAGGGCTTTTTCTCCAGGGTTATAGGGTTTAGGGTTTAGAATTTGGGGTTTAGGGCTTAGGGCTTAGGGGTTAGGGTTTAGGGTTTAGGGTTTAGGGGACTCTAAATTTTCGACTCTCGGTCTTGGTAGCGGGTTTAGTTGAGGGCTCAGAGCTTGGGCTCCAGAACCCGCGCAGATGAGCTCGTGATGCATTTCGGCCTCCAGCGCTGAGTTCCCCAGTAGCATCCGCCAAGTATGAGTAGGTACTCTTTTTGTCCTAGTAATCGGTCTCAGTGGGGACGGTTTTGGGTTTAGGGTTTAGGGTGAAGGGCAATGGGAGTTCTACTCAGCCTACCATCCGGACAATGCCTCCCAAGTGCCTCGATTGGCACAGCTTCCACGTCAGATGCAACCACCGCGATTCTTGCAACACTGGCCAAAGGCTCTGAAACCCTCAAGTAAGGAGTATTCGATCCTAACAACCCACTTAGGATGCTGGGGCGCCCTCTACCCCAACCCCTCAGCCCGAAAACCTGATCCCTAAACCCTAAACC